ATGAGTAACAAAGCAGTTCATGTCATAGTATATTGGAGTGTTGTATTTAAGTTATTAGTAGTGTTGTTTTTTTAATTTTATGTCTGTATGCCAAAACAACACCGAGCTTAGAACAGATATTGTGCTATACCTGCCCCCCTTGTTTTAATTAGCAGACCATGATGTTTTAATTGTTTATATCTAAAATTGTCTGTGCCCTTAATTTAAATTATTAAATGGCAATAAATAATTTCTTTGAAAGACCGCTGTATACCTTTAGTCATTTTTTTTAAGTCTTTCGATTTTTGTTGGATCGGGTTCGGTATTCCGATTACCTCACTATCTGATATCAGAACGAGGCTCTTTGTTCAACCAGTAGAGCCACGCTGCGAAAGACAGAAGTTTTTGTTTAAGTTACCTGATTTTTCCACGTCCATTTGTAGAGGTAATATTTTAAAACATGCAAAAGACATCGAAGAGATTGAATGATGAAGTTGCGATGGTTTCATTCGTTCTTTTAGGTCGACTGTGAAGTGTAATCTTATTTAAGCCTGGAAAATTACAAATTGATTGTGAATTTAACAGTCATCTGCAATCAGTATCGCCGATTAAGTCCATTGATTTTCAAAGAAGCAATTCATCGTAACTTTATGTGTGTATGCCTATAAAACGATGCACAATAGGAACTCACATGGTAAATTTGGTCTTCTGAACTGTTTATTTATTATGAATTTAGGATTTGACGAAACTATATATTAAAAGACGCTTTTGTTCAAAAATTAGATAAACACACGACAGTGTACTGTTGAACAATAAATAAAATTTTAAAAATTGGTTAAGTTGTTGTTGTGTTGTATTGCTCCTTGATTATGATGTTATATTCATAATATTGTTACATGAATATTTTGATTGGGGCAAACAAAAAAGAAAAAAATTGTTTACTGTTACCTGCTGAAATAAAATAGGGCTAGAAGGTAGGATTTCCATTTTATTTCATAGTTTTTTTTAAAATACACAAATTCAGATGAATTAGTTGAAATACCCAACAGTTTTAGCTCACCTGAGCCGAAGGCTCAAGTGAGCTTTTCTGATCACATTTTGTCCGGCGTCCGTCAATCCGTCTATCTGTCCGTCTGTCTGTCTGTCCATCTGTCTGTCTGTAAACTTTTCACATTTTCGACTTCTTCTCAAGAACCGCTGGGCCAATTTCAACCAAACTTGCCACAAAGCATCCTTGGGTAAAGGGGATTCAAGTTTGTTCAAATGAAGGGCCAAGCCCTCATTCAAGGGGAGATAATTGAGAATTAATGAAAATTTGGTGGTATACTTTAAAAATCTTCTTCTCAAGAACCACTGTGCCGGGAAAGATGAAACTTATGGGGAAACATCCTCACGTAGTGTAGATTCAAGTTTGTTCAAATCATGACCCCCAGGGGTAGGGCGGAACCACATTGGCCAACCAAAGTTTTACATAGAAATATATAGGAAAATTCTTTAAAAATTTTCTTCTCAAGAATAGCAAAGCTATAATTGATCATATTTAAATGCAAGCATCCTCAGGAAGTGTAGATTTAAGTTTGTTCAAATCATGACCCCCGGGGGTAGGGCGGGGCCACAATGCCAACCAAAGTTTTACATAGAAATATATATAGGAAATTTTTTTAAAAACCTTCTTCTCAAGATTAGCTAAGCCATAATTGATCATATTTTTATGGAAGCATCCTCAGGTAGTGTAGATTCAATTTTGTTCAAATCATGGCCCCCGGGGGTAGGGCGGGGCCACAATGGCCGACCACAGTTTTACATAGAATATATAGGAACATTCTTTAAAAACCTTCTTCCCAAGATTAGGAAAACCATAATTGATCATATTTATATGGAAGCATCCTCAGGAAGTGTAGATTTAAGTTTGTTCAAATCATGACCCCCGGGGGTAGGGCGAGGCCAAAATGGCCAACCAAAGTTTTTCATAGAAATATATAGGAAAATTCTTTAAAAATCTTCTTCTCAAGAATAGCAAAGCCATGATTAATCATATTTTTATGGAAGCATCCTCAGGTAGTGTAGATTCAAGTTTGTTCAAATCATGACCCCCGGGGGTAGGGTTGGGCCACAATGGCTGACCAAAGTTTTACATAGAAATATATAGGAAAATTCTTTAAAAATCATCTTCTCGAGAATAGCAAAGCCATGATTGGTCATGGGACTACTTTTGGATTAAACTTTTCAATAATAAACTAATTCCTACTTTTTCCTAGCCACAGTGCTCAGGTGAGCGATGTGGCCCATGGGCCTCTTGTTTTTGGAGACAAGGTCTTCCAACAATGTAATAGAATCCCATGGGTACCAATTGCGCCCCGCTATTAGCAGGCCTATTTTTTATTTCATATGAAGCCGGATTTGTCCAAAAACATATGCATGAAAAGAAGACAACACTTGCTGTGGCCTTCAAGTCGATATTTAGATATCTAGACTACGTATTGTCCATTACCAGGGGTAATTTCCATTCTTATGTCGATGAGATATTTCCTGATGAACTTGAGATAAAAGATTCCACAGAATCTGACACATTTATTTCATATTTGGAATTTCTACTCTAAAATGGCGTTAATTGTTATCTGACCACAAAGCTTTATGAATACCGTGATGATTTTAACTTTTCAATCGTCATCTTCCCTTACTTATGCATTAATATACCTTCATCACCTGCATATGGAGTTTATATATCTCAGTTTATTCGATACGGAAGAACATGTTCTACATATGAACAATTTCTAAAACGAATTTGTTAGTTATTGTCAAACAAGTCGATGAAGCAAGAATTTCAGCAGTCTAGTTTAAAGTCATCATTACGTAAGTTCTATGGTCGATACAATGACTCGTCAGCAAGTACAATTTATCATTGAATCAAATGCTGACTGACTTTTTAAAACTGATTGTTAGGCCATTATGTACATACTGAGTTGTCTACGGATGTTTCCATTTTTTACCCGAACATGAAAAGGAGCAACGGTGTAACCGGTCGGCAGAAGAGGTCCGTTTTTGCTCTGCTGATATTTTGTAATGTTTAATGGTCTTTTGAGCTCCTACTTTTCAAATTTTCAAATAGTCAATGCCAGATTTTCAGAATCTGAAGATCGGAGTGCCTTAAAGTATATTTGATTTATAAAAAAATTACAACAGTACTGGCATTTTTATGACATTGATTTTAGTTAAACGTTCTTAAATTTTGATAGTTCCTGAAATTGAATCGTCAAGATCTTAAAATTGTAACGGGGCAGTTGCTTTTAATTTAATTCGCATGTTTGTTGGCAAAAACAACAAAATAATATACTAGGTAACAAAACAAGTCTAAATAAGTTAAAACATGTTTAATAATAATGGGTTCCAATATTTAAGGGTCCTAAATCATCTAGAACTCATGTGGAAAATCATATATATTTTACGTATTTACATGTACATGTATGTAGTTTTTAAGGAATTTTTTTTATTTCCTTCGATATAAGCAAGTTTAAATTCTGTTATAACTGAACATGATTCGCAAATATAAGATACTACGTACGATAACAGTACAAGTGTATCTTCTTTGCCTTCTTTACATCTGACTGTTTTATTGTCACAGGTATAGACGTGAAATGGCGACCCGTGTTCGTGCTGGTTATCTTGCATTATCTTCGTTACATTTCATTGCAGTTACGCATATTTACGTTTGTTTGTATACTGCACTGACCTGTGCATCTGATATAAGTGCCTTTGGTATTTTATTTTTTCTGCAATGGAATAAGTACACTTATTTTTTGTCGATATCGAGTGCTGTATAGCATACGTCCGTCTACACCGGTGATAATTGATTACACTGAACAGTTACTAACAAGGATATGGAGATAACGAACAGTATTCAATATCTAAGTACATAAAACAATACAAAATAGGAGCAAAACGAACACGGACCTCCGAAACATCAGAGGTTGGATCAAGTGCCATGAAGGAGTGAACATCCCCTACTGACCGGTCACACTCGCCGTGTGCTTCTTCTCAATTTCGGGAAATAACAGGAAAAATCCGTCGTCAATTCAGTGTATAAATAATGGACTAACAATTAGTATGAAAAATGCGTCAGTCAGCATTTGACTCAATGATAAATTGTATTTGCTGACAAGGTCATTGTATCGACCAAAGAACTTACCAAATGATGAAATTAAACGAGACTGTTGATTTCATCAACTTGCTTGTCAATAATTGACCTCGTTTTAGAAATTGTTCATACGTAGAACATGATCTTGCGTATCGAATCAACTGAGATATATACACTCCGTATGCAGATGATGAAGGAATATTGCTGCATAAGTAAGGGAAGTTGACGATAGAAAAGTTAAATTATACTAAGTGATTGGCTCTATTTATAAGACCCCCATGGATAGCGAGAAAGCGATCGAATATGGCTGACAAATCTTACTCAGCTGTAAATTTAAAGTAGAAGATTACTCTTGGGTGTACAAGAAGATTTTATTGCGCTCGGTTATACACCAATATTGCAAGATATTATTTTGCAACAAATTGCATAATTAATGATTTAAGGTAAATTTTTAATGATTAACACCATTATCAAGCATTTTCCTTCTTGACGCAAAGCTGTTCAAAGGAGATAAATCAATAATAACAAAAATGTTCTGTTGTCACAGCCATTAATTAGAAAAATCTTTTGAAGTTAAAATTGAATGACTTGAAATTACTTGATGATAAAAATTGTTGAACACATTAATCTAACAGATATGGACGATAAGCTTTTCGATATAAAGCTTGATATTCAAAATTAAAGAAGAAGAATAACAGTCTTTTGGAGTTACTCAAAAGACTGCAGATGTAATTATTTTAGACAATTCCCCTTTGCTTTAATCTTAAAATACTTTTAAACCATGAAATCTTGCGTCACGGCATGTGTTCTTTTGCTAATTTTGATCTCCTTTCTTTGTTGTGAGGAAGACGGTGTGATTAAAGTTATCGATATCATTGGTTACAAAATGTGTCTCAAAAGATGTCATGATAACAATCTTTGTCTCAACGTGGAATACAACAAGAAACAACTTCGATGTAAGCTGCTGAAAGATCATGACGATGGTAAAGAGACTTTACTTACCCAGCTAAGGAATGTGACGAAATGTCAAAAAGGATTCAAGGTACTTACACATGTATTTTTTTTCTCAGTTTGTTAGATAAATAATTTTTTTATTACTTTAGATTCATTTTAACACTGTTTACCTTTTGTTTGTCTTGAAGCCAAGAATCACTGTCTAGTTTGTTGGGTATGCCAGGACGTTATGCATGAATAATGCTCTTTAATAATGATACTGTAAATTCCTAAATATACGCATGAATTTAATTATCGCGTAATTTCGCGAGAAGCACCACTCGCGAAATAAAACTACTCACTTTTATTTTTATGGTGCTAAAACAATGTTTAATCTCTTGATGAAAAGTCCATTCGCGAATTATTATTCCCGCGATTTGACGTTGAATAGGCCTTTCGCGATAATGAGTACTCGCGAAAAATAAGGAATCCACTGTATACTTTATGCACTATTTTATGCTCTAGAAATGATGATATCAATATTTTTAGAATAATAAATATAAGAGTTGAAATGATTGTGCATCTTAAAATTGACTAAGCTCTGTGGTTGAATTAGGTATACAAGTTTAGCTTTATTGTACTACGCAAACCACCTTAATTAAGTATTTTCAATCATACTGTTTTCTGAAATGTGCAGTTCTTTTCAACATGGGTACATGTACATTTTTAGCTTCTGAAAAAAATGCATGAAAGAAACCTAGCTTTTCAAATACTGTAACACTTTATCTTCATATACTTGTGAATCATACGTTTTAAGCTCCTTAAGCTTTTCTGGTTTCCTGATCACATTTTGTCTGTCGTCCATCTGTTTGTCTGCAAACTTTTCACATTTTTAAGTTTCTCTTGAAGCCAAGAATCGCTGTCTAGTTTGTTGGGTATGCCAGGATATCAACGATAGTTAAAAATGCGGGATAACGCCCGTTAATCATTGCTAATACTCTGGTTTCATCAATATTCATGGGCATCAATTTTCGTGGATTAAGTAAAAATCACAGTTTTGGGGATACGTAAATTCGGAGATAATGGTCCTTACAGAAAAAATTGTCATCTTTTCATATTGTCTTTCGCCGTATGCTTTACTGAGAACCATCCTATCATTTACAATGTTAAGAGAACGTAAATATTTTTAAAGAAATACTAACAGGTAAAAGCTCTTTAATTTATTTTATATTTTACTCAATTGGTTTTTCAAATGTAAGAACCTTCAAGCATTTATTAAGCAGTATGATGTGACAATAAAGGTTGAGACAATCCAAATACATGTACCTTCTTCGTGTAACACTGAGATCGATGGGACAATTAAATAACAGACATTAAAATAAAATATGACAAACAATTTTTTTAAAATAGACTTTTATTTAATCAAAGTTTCGGGCAAAAGATGTGCAAATATCTCAAAATTTAAAAACACTTTGAATTTTATCTTTCAGACGCGCATGTGTATATAATTAAGTGAGGCCACAGGATATTAAAAGTAACAAAAATTGAGTATTTCTTTTTACAAAATGGCGTTAACTACTTATTTTTACATGCATGCACGGTGTGTTTCTGGACTTGACAGTGACAGTTTGTAGATTTATGAATAAACACATCCGCGCTTGCTGAATGCGAGTTCACGCTTAAGAATGCAAAATGGACGACAAAAAAAATTGAAGCGGCATGACTTTCGCAACACACATACCTATTATCTCAAGTTAACAAAATTATGTATCTAAAGAAATATATCAAATTCAAATAAGCATTCAATGGAAATAATTTCTATGAATAAACAGAAAGCAATTTATTATTTTTATCAAAATTTTTATTTAATGATACTTCGTTTCCATTGTGCGGGTGATGATGGAGTTGGACACTTATATTGTTCGTTGTTTGAGAGAATAAATTTTACACATTTTTACCTGATTATCATCCTTGCCGGTTATTCCACTGTTTGGTATACACGCTGACAGATCTACGTGTTGTTTACTTATCTCCGTGCAGAATATTAAAACATTTTTACACAAAAAGTTTAGACAATTTTGTAAACAATCTCTTTCCCTTTTTAATTTTCTTAAAATACAAATGTAATAAAATGCGTTTATAAAGTCAATATGTTTGAAAAGTGGGCATATTAAATAATAAACGAAACTCGGAGTAGACTTTTCAAAAGCTTTTTAATAAATCAAAACGGAGGCACCAGACTTTCATGAAAATTTGATTTCGTGGACCGACTCAACACCAGAATCCATAAATATTATTGTCCCACGAATAATGATGAAACCGCCATACCATGTTTCAAACTATCTTTGATATCCCTGGCATACCAAGAAACTAGAGAGTCATGTTTTTCTATTTACATTTCATTGTGAAATAAAATTGTAAATTTTAGATTTTCACAATAACAATATTGTGTCATATATATTGAAGTTCTACGAGGCTTCCGAAGGCAATTTCAATAGTCCCCGCTCATAGATGTCAAACACAAATCAGCCGCACGACAATTACATGCATATTATACCTTTTTAGCTCATGACCTTTTGCTTGATGAAATTAACATTCCGGTTGATTTATTAAGAAATCAACTTATTTAACTTCCATAGAGTTATCAAAGAGAAAACAAATAGAAATGGAAAAATAAAAAAAATATTTCAACTTAAATAAATATCTGCATCATACCCGATTATTGATGATGATGTAAAGAAAAGGAGGTAAAAATTCCATTACACACATGTTGCATATCATCATCTCAAAAGCCCATATGTGAACGCTGAACATGATAAATAAGCAAAACACTATTTCGATATTGTTATCTTTGATAACAGCACCGGGATATACTCTTCGCAATTTTCACATCTGACTGCTTTATTGCTATGTGTGTCGGCTTGGAATGGCAAACCAATGTTCATCGCATTTACGCATTTTTGTGTTTATTTGTATACTTCTGCACTGACCTGTGCAACTGTTGTAAGTGTTCTGGTATCCTATTCTCCTGCATTATAAGAGGTACACAGTTATTCATTTTTTGCTTTTAAAGACTGTTGTATAGCATACGTCCGTCTACACCGATGACGACTGATTACACTGAACAGTTACTAAGTGAGCTGCTCTATATATAGGCGCCCTCAGATATAGTGAGAGACCGATCGAATATGACGGACATTCTTTTTACGAATTGTGTTAAACTTAAGTTCAATATTTCATAATCTACAAAACGCATTTTGAAAAGAAAACAAGTACTAGTAATTTTGACATTTGAATATGACAAAAGTATATATAAAACTTTCTTGTTCATAAAAAAAACAATATCACATACATAACTGGTCTTTTTTAGTTGAGTGTTTGTGAAGAATTCATCGAACGTGTTCACTTTTCCTCGGGAGAGTTGAAATGTGTATCAAAAGGTACATGTATTAAGAAACTGAAACCTTCTTAATTTGCTTTGTTTTGAACAATTGCTATCAAAAAATATTAGGCAATTTAAATTTTAAAATACATCTATCATTTAAAACAGAGCAATTCAGAAATGTAGCCCTAGGAAAACCAGCGAATTTATCATCAGTGTGGGATAGTTATTCGGAGGCTTTTTACGCTGTCGATGGGCGTGGAGTTGTCCCGGGAGCTGGACACTGGTACTGTGCACATTCTGAAGGAATTGAACCACATCCCTATCTCAGAATTGATCTGCAGAACCTGTTCTATATTGATCATATACTTCTATTAACACGAGGAGATTATGCTGGTACTTTTTCTACAGATTTTGAAAATTAGATGTGATAAAGTGAAAATTAATTAATTTGTTTTAAAGAGGCTTGCACATAGATATATGTTTCTTTTATTTTCAATATAGTAAGTTGACTTTCGTGTTGCTAAAGCAGGTTGCTCCAAACTACATAAAACGTGTTAGATGTTTCTTTTTCTTGAAATTATTGAGATTATAGAAACAACGGGGCGCCTTTGAATAGCACATATCCTTGTACGTTTTGGAAATACACTTTACCCAAACAGCAATAAATAAAAATGGAAATTGTTTTTAGTTTGTATGATAAATATGAAAATTAAAATCTAGAATATCCAGCAGAACTGCAAAAAAGCAAAACCAACTCACTATACTGTCAGTCCGTGCTCAATGCATGTTTGCAGTATATGCAATATTGAAAGCACCCGCTAAACGTAAACATTAATAATTACAGATGGAGAGTGTATACTCTGTTTACAAACTAAGATTTTTAAGGTATTTGATGAATAATCGTTTTAACTGAATTTTCAGAACATTCATGCTATTTCAAATTACTCAAGTACTAATTTTTTAATATCATAAAAAATTAAAATAGTAGTAAACTTTGAAACTGTCCACAAGCCCCTTTAAAAATAAGGATTCCACACAGCTTGAAATATCAAACTATGACAAAGCAATATTTTCGAAAAAAAAATTATTAAATCGAACGGAAATAAATGTCAGGATATTGTTTTTGTGAGTATGGTTTTTAGCTCACCTGAGGCGAAGGCTCAAGTATTCTGATTACGACTTACATCTGTTGCTTTCATAACTAGAATATGGTACATGTATATAAAATCAAAAATGATAAGAAATTAATCTAAGTTTTTTTTAATTTTCAACAGAAAATAAGCGTAAAAAATGGGAAAAGTTTACCGGTATATCTGTAAAACAGAAAAGTGATATTCCATGAAATTCTACAACAAGAATGTATCTCAATATTTTAGAAAAGTGAAATAAACGAATTGAACAAATATACATGTATATAAATGGAACGTATCAAATGCATTTAAAGATCAGGACGGAAGAGTTATCCTTCTTTATTTTCCAGGGGTTGAAAAAACCTGGGTGCTATTTGAAATGATGAATATTTTTTCCAAACGTTAAAAACGCACTTATTTTATTGAAAGTTTTTAACTTTAAAATGTATTAATTTAATTAAAGCAATGCACGGATAAACGCTTTCAAAGATTTGTCTCATTCAAAGCAATTGCGTTCATCTAACAGTTCTGGGACTACATCTACAACAGCTGGCTAATTTGTGACCAAACAGTTACTTCATGAACTGAATATCAAATAAGCCCAGCTCTGATTAACGTGAAAATCGATTGGTCAGAATATAGCACAATAAGAAGTAATCACAGTTATCTATGCCTCGCTGCACACGAGGAGTTGTACAAGTGTTCAAACAACTGAAAGATTTCCCTTAAAAATGTTCAAAAGCAGTGATGTTAAAATTTGTGATGTGTAAATCTTTTACATTCTGTGTTTGCTTTTCGAAAATGTCCCGTTGTACATTTATTCGTAAAATTATTTACTAGCGGCTTTATTTTTGTCTATTTTAAATTTTAATTAAATGCCGATTTGTGAATACGTGCATTGAACTAGCTTCAAAGAGAGTGTTCTTTTAAACAGTATATTCACAAATTTTGACTCGATAATAAGCGTTCATGCAAATCAAAACAAAACTTCAAATGGAAATACGCCGTAACGTGGAGATATCCCATTCTACCTTAAATGTAATATAAGATTTATTTTTTGGTTATATTTTTAACAATGTAAGTAACAAAGAGCGTTATATCCTATATTTTCTAAGAAAAGAAATGAACCATTTGAACTTTCTTTAATGTTTTATTATTGCTTTATTTTTTTGTCCTATCGCCGAGATAATTCATAAAATAAAAAATGCTAAAATTCATATTATCAAATTTAGATTAAAATTTGTTAAGAAAATAGATCTACATGAAATTTTTAAGACTCGTCTGCATCTTACTCTTAGATATATGTACTAAACTTTTATTTATCTAAAGGTACATGTATCGTATTCATGAAGGATTTCTGGAGATAAAAATTATCAAGGGTATTATTGTTATTTTTGCTTCGTTAGTCCATCTTTTCTTAAATTGTACAAAGGTTATATGAAACATTGATTATGATGTAAAAATACAACGTGCAAATTAACATTTTGTTTGATTTTAGCGGAACGTTTCCATGACGTGGAAGTCCGTGTAGGCCACGTGACTACGTGGGAGAACATGACGACCTGTGGTATGTTTAACGAGAAAAAAACATTGTAATGAAAGATTCAGTGTGTATACCAATTTACAGATTTGTAAAAGATTTTGAAGTTAAATGGCATATAAATGACTGTTACACTTAAAAATTGTGTTTAGAATTTCAACACTTCCATGAAATAGAACATTAATACATTGATAGAGTAATACCATTTTAATAACTAAAACTTATGTCAAAACATGTTTTATATCAGGTCCTGTATGAAAAAACACCTTCTGGTAAAATACCGAGTGTTCAAAAATACCCAAATCTGATTTTAAAATCGATTCCTTACAAAATAAGTGTAATGCAGCAAATGAAATATACAGAAATCAGAAGTCGTTTGAGTTTGCACATTGGATATTAATTAGACTCGACTATGAAAATTTAATAGATGCATGGCTTCCAATGAAGGCCGCTTCCATATTAAAAATGTTGTTAGAGAGAATTTTAAATTCTATTGTTTGGTGAAATCAAATTTTAATGTGGAAAAACTTCTGACATGTTAGAATGTTAAATTTAAAGCTTGATAAATAAAAACTTCAGGAATCGTGTTCAAACAACGTTTATTCAAAGAGATGTCATTTGGAACAATGTTGTAAAATGAATATGCTATATTAAAGAAAAAAGTTTAGATGATTAATAAGGAAATTGAGACAAATGTATGCTTTATAAAAATTTATAAAAATTTCATCATATATTTTAAATTTCATTACTGTATCTTGAGGCATAAAATTTTTATAACAGTTTAAAAGTGTAACATATGTTTTGGGACACCCTGTATATAAATGGAACGTATCAAATGCATTTAAAGATCATGTACCTAAAATTATCATTTTGTGATTATTTGTGCATTTGAAATGGATTGAAAAATACCTGGGTATTATTTGAAATGATGAATATTTTTCCAAACGTTAAAAACGCACTTATTTTATTGAAAGTTTTTAACTTTAAAATGTATTAATTTAATTAAAGCAATGCACGGATAATCGCTTTCAAAGATGTGTCTCATTCAAAGCAATTGCGTTCATCTAACAGTTCTGGGACTACATCTACAACAGCTGGCTAATTTGTGACCAAACAGTTACTTCATGAACTGAATATCAAATAAGCCCAGCTTGATTAAATTGAAAATCGATTGGTCATAACTATAGCACAATAAAAAATCACAGTTATTCATAATAAATTTACACATACGAGGAGTATATATCAAGTGTTTATACAACTAAAGATTTCCCTTAAAAATGTTTCAAAAGCAGTGATGTTTAAATTTGTGATGTGTAAATCTTTTACATATATGTGTTTTTTTTCAAAATTAAATCCCGTTTATACATTTTTTTCGTAAAATTATTTTTTAGCGGCTATATTTTTGTCTATTTTAAATTACAATTAAATGCCGATTTGTGAATACGTATATCTATGGGATGTAATTATTCTAAACGGTGTATTCACAAATTTTATCAAAACATCTAGCGTTATGCAAATCAAAACAAAACTTTAAAAAGTGGAAATACGCCGTAACGTGGAGATATCCCATTCTACCTTAAATGTAATATAAGATTTATTTTATTAAAATATATTTTTTACAATGTAAGTGACAAAGAGCGTTATATCCTATATTTTAAAAAGAGAAATGAACCATTTGAACTTTAAAAATGTTTTATTATTGCTTTATTTTTTTGTCCTATCCCGAGATAATTCATAAAATAAAAAATGTTAAAATTCATATTATCAAATTTATTAAAATTTGTTAAAAAGAATATCACACAAATTTTTAAGTACTCGTCTATCTTAACAATCATATATGACTAAACTTTTATTTATCTAAAGGTACATGTATCGTATTCATGAAGGATTTCTGGAGATAAAAATATCAAGGGTATTATTGTTATTTTTGCTTCGTTGGTCCATCTTTTCTTAAATTGTACAAAGGTTATATGAAAGATTGATTATGTTGTAAAAATACAACGTACAAATTAACATTTTGTTTGATTTTAAACGTTTCCAAACACGTGGAAGTCCGTGTAGGCCACGTGACTACGTGGGAGAACATGACGACCTGTGGTATGTTTAACGAGACAGCAGAACTTGGTCAGATTTATAAGATCCAGTGTGTCTCCTGCCTTGTTGGCCAATTTGTAACAGTCAGGATTGTTGGGGATAAAATGGCATATGATAATGGGAATATGCTAAGCTTATGTGAAGTTACCGTCTGGGGAAGAAGATACTTTTAATCATAGGATTCTATGTCAACAAGCATGAATTCTATGTCAACAAGCATGACAATTGCTGACAATTATTACCTTTTTTCCAAATGATATTGATCATTGAGAATCTTATACAAAAATTTGATTTTTTTGCATGAAATATAATACAGTAGATCATAGATAATTGTTGCCAACTGACCAAGCGCCTAATCTATTACCTTAGAAATTTCGAATGAAGACAAAAATAATAGTTGTTCAAATAGATGTATTCTATACAAAAGTTACAATAGTCCATGGATTCCGACATCGGTGGGTTCCTGATACTGCACTACCTCTCTCGGGATAGGAATCACTCATAAGGAAACTGAACAATATTAAGTAACAAGTTTTTACAGAAATGGTTTACCATACATTTAGCATAGCATCTAGCAGTACTGCGTTTATACACAAACTTGCACTTAATTACATTTTACACTTATTCATGCAACACTACACATACTCAAGTAGCACTACACTCAAATATATGCAAAAACGTTTATGAAACGTTACACAAATGGAACACCATGTTAAAAACCAGCTAACGTTTACCGCTAACAAAACTTTTAATAGAAACGCAAACTATACAAACACAGTTAACATAATGAACAATTATAATATTTACAGAATATTAAAGTATTATATCATGCTATTTGAACAAAGTTATCCAGAACCTTAGAATTAACAAAACGCTGAATAAAGGAATAAATAAGACGTGCTCTTCTTAGAAGCTGAGTGTCTGTCAACTTTAGATATCATTTTAAATTCCAAAGGTCCCAAATCAAGAAATAAGTTAGAAAATGTTTAATGTATTAATATGTATATCCTACTTCCAATGTTCTTCAATCAAATATACCGGTAATTTTAATCTAAAGGCAGGTGGTGAAATTCTTATTTATATTTCCAATGATGTTACATATAAACGCAGAACTGATTTTGATATTTGTAACATTGACACAATCTGGCTAGAGATAAATCTGAAAAATTCAAAACCTATACTTTATTGCTCTGCTTATCGTTCACCATCTGCCCCCTCCTGCTGGGCGGAGGACCTAGCAAGGGAGGTGGACCGTGCCTCCTGCTGTGACGATACTGAAAAAATTCTAACAGGTGATTGCAATATTGATTGAATGAAGTACGCCCACAATACCGGGCATCTGCTCTGGAGGAGTTTGGACTTCAGATAATTACTGTACTTGTATTTCACGTATGATTCGTATCATTTAATTATTGTACAATGTTAATTATGTTTTCATAATTGTATTAGTGTACTATGTTTACAGGGCCCCTTAAGAAGATTATTGCATTGCACTAATCGGGTTACCCTCTTTTAATAAATTATAACTATAATTATTATTACTATTATTATTTGTTTCCTACCAATTTGCATATTTGAGTATAAGGTAAATATTCACATTAAACAGAATAAGCCACAATTATCAAGCACTTTTAATTTCCTTCTTGAAGCAAAACTGATCAAAAGAAATCAACTATTGGGGGAAAAAAGTTCTATTGTCAAAAACATTAATCAGAAATTTTTTTTGAAGTTGTTATTGATTGACTTGAAATAGTATAATGATAAAATTTGTCGAAGACGTTACTGGATAATTAGTTTTCCGATATTGAACCTAAGTATTCATAATGTTAGAGGTCTTCTGGAGTTGCACAGAAAACTGCAGATGTTATTATTTCAGACAATTCCATTTTGTTTTTATCTTAAAATACTTTTGTACCATGAAATCGTACGCCACGGCATGTGTTCTTTTGATAAATTTGATTTTCTTTCTCTATTGCGAGGAAGACCGTGTGATTAAAGTTATCGATATCATAGGTTACAAAATGTGTCTAAAGAAATGTCATGATAATAATCTTTGTCTCTCCGTGGAATACAACAAGAATCAACTTCGATGTAAGCTGCTGAAAGATCATGACGATAGTAAAGAGACTTTTCTTACCCAGCTAAGGAATGTGACAAAATGTCATAAAGGATTACAGGTACTAAAGCTTAAATTTCATATTTTGCAATTCAGTTGTAAACAGTTTGAAAACCTATCAAATTAAGTGTTTTTCAGGATAAAATATTTGTTTCAATATATGTATACATAATTATACATGTATATATGTTTATATGTATTTTTCGTCGATTTTTTGATAACTACTTTTTAATTCTTTTACTTTAGATTCTTTAAAGCACTGTTTATCTATTTTGTCTTAAAGCCAATTAAGGAATCTTTGTCTAGTTTATTTGATATGCCAGGACATCAACGAGAGTTGGAAATATGTGATAATTTACATAGCGAACTATGCCCGTTAAGCATAAGTTATCCAAAGTTTCTTTGATGTCTCTGGCTTATTCCACAAACTGGACATTTTTTCCTTATAGTTACACTTCATTGTGAAGTAAAATTGTTAATCTAGATTATAATTTTAGAAATGTTGTTTAAAAGATTTAAATTTAACACGTAACCTCCCCTGTAAATTTCAATAATCCCCACTCACTGATGTTAAATTAAAAGACAACCGCACGAAATGAAATGTATATTAGGCCTCCTTAGTTCATGTCCTCTCGCTTGGCAAAATAAGCATTCAGGTTCAAATTATCAAGACATCAACTCTCAAACTTTCAAAGAGTTATCACAGAGAAAACAAATAACCCTTACCGAAAACATTGCCTTCCTGCAAATATTTGCTGCAAGTCTGCAGCAAACATTGCCGTAAACTTGCAGCAAACATTAATGCAAGCTTGCGGCAATGTAGCTAATAAAGCATGAGAGTCTATACAAAGCCTTGGTGTGTGCAGCAAGTTAGCGACAAGTCTGCAGCAAGCATGCAGCAAACAATTTACCATGCAAATTCCAAATATGGAAAACTTGCTGCAAGATTGCGGCGCAAATTGCTGCAAGCTTGCGGCAAACACTGCTGCTAACTTGCAGCAAACAAATTCCTTTTGATTTTGGCACATACTTGTGTACAAGCAGCAAGTTCGCATAAAGATTTTATCCTGACCTATATCTGTTAATTTTAGAGAAAACCAACCACATGTTTCTGAAATGAATCAAATGATGCAATTTTATGAAGTTTTGATAGGCTCTCTTTATGTTCCTAGAAAATGTTTTCATACTTTAAAAAAAAATCAAAGTGCATCATAGCTTTTTGATATGAACAGAACATTAAGAACTTTATATATACATTGTAATTTTTAATTCAATATTACCGTGATTAGAGTTACTAATTCATTTGAAAACATTTAACTGATTTGTCCATTAATACATTTAAGAAGTATATACATATGATATTAAAATGAGGATTTTAATTCATAATAAATATATTTAGATTTGACCTAGCAGTTACACCAATTACTCAAACACGCTTTTAAGAAATATTTTTTAATATCAAAATAAAACAAAATAATTTCTTGCCAATTAGATATTGAAGCCAATGAAACCTACATCCAGGGCTTGGCATTTTTAATCATTCGAAACGGTATATATTCCTAATAAAATGCAGAAACAACTTCAATTCAAAAATTTCAAAATGGCCAGTTCTGTGTTGATCCCAGTACTATATGGTTGCATAATTCTGCCCCTACATGCAAGATAAATTATGTTAACATGCAAGAAAATTATGTATACATGCAAGATAATTACGTATACATGTACATGCAAGATAATTATGCTGACATGCAAGTTACAAATTTTTTTAAGGAATTGGATTTAAATATGGGTAACATCCTGTGCTTTCGCACGTATCTGACATCGTAGATGCAAGGTGCATCACAATTATGAGAAGATGCAATTTACTTATGTTAACATGCTAGATAATTAGGTTGACATGTAAGATATTTATGTCAACATGCGAGTTAATTATGTACACATGCAAGATATTTATGTCAACATGCGAGTTAATTATGTAGACATGCAACTTATTTATGTCAACATGCAAGATACATGTACTTATGTTAACATGCGAGATATTATGTACACATGCAGGATATTTATGTTCACATGCAACATATTTATGTAAACATGCAAGATAATATCTTGCATATCAACTTACATTAAGTTGCTTGTTGACATAGTTATCTTGCATGTTGACATAAATAAGTCGCATGTTAACATAATTATCTTGCATGTTGACATAAATAAGTCGCATGTTGACATAATTATCTTGCATGTTGACATAAAAAAAAGTCGCATGCCTACAAAGTTATGTTGCATATTGCAGCTAAAATGTCAGATACAGGCGTTAGTAAGTAAATTTACTCATACTGCGAGTATTCAGTATTTCAAATTATATTTTCTTATAAGATTGTAACTTTGCATGTCAACATAATCAACTTGCATGTTGGCATAAATATGTTGCATGTCTACATAATTATGTTGCATGTTAACATAATTTATCTTGCATATAGGTACGGAAGCGTAAATGGCTCTACACTCGTTGTGTTATAACTTTGTATATTGTCTTATATTTTATCGACTTATCAGCATATAAAGTGTTATACTTCCTTATATATGTACATATTTTAAATTGTTTTAAGATTTCTTAACATAATAGAAAACTTCTTTAATTATATATTTTATTGCTTTAAGCTTTACATATATTGATTTTTTTAAATTGTTCGATATAAAATTGTTGATATAAAAAAAAAGTTATATCAATTTTAAAGGCATACTTCTTTTTGGATTATTTTGGCGATAATTTGTTCTCTAATAGAAAGCTTTTATTGCTTTAAGCTTTATTCGACTAAATAATATATTGATTTTCAGATTTCTTAAAATCGATATCTTGATTTGAGGTCGTAAAACAAAATATTATATTTAATCATTCCTGGGCCTCTCAATTATAAAATTGTTGATATGATGAAAATAAAGATATAGATTTAGAATGAATATCATGTTATATCAATTTTAATTTATGCAATATTTGCGATAAAGAAGTCAAAATAAAGTGTTTTTGGAAAAATTATTTTGGCGAATTAGGGCGGGAATTGATGCCAATGAACAAAATGTTTTTGGGACTTCTCTTGTTGAATAATTATTTCTATAAGAGGACAGTTTCGGCACTTTTCAAAGTTTTTATATAACTTATGTATCATGTTAAAATTAAGCATGTACAAGTCCCATTAAATAGAATGGCTGAATCAAATTTAAAAGTATAATAAAAAAGGGAGATGGAGACAAATTGAAAGTTATAGATCCATAGTGGGCTATATTGCACCGATCACCACTTTTGAAGAGGGGGAGACAAGAGTATCTTTGTGCCCCTCATCCAGCTATAACCCCCCCCCCCCCAAAAAAAAAGAACTGAGTACAGCAGAGATCCACTGATATGTCCCCAAATTTAAGAAAATTCTCGCAGTTAGATTATTAAATCCCTTAGGTGTTTTTCTTGTTATAAATTTATTTTGGCTGAAACTACACTTTCCTCCTTTAAACTTTGTGATTAAGCTTATACAGATTGGCTGAAATCACAAATTATTTTATATTATTTAAAGCAATAAGAAGTTAGATCTGGTGTTATTATATTTTTATGCAGGGGAGGGGGTGGGTGGGAGGTTTCAGGACTGTGGAGGTTCGCATTCATGAGTCAGGTCCTATGTATATCACAGAGTGAAACATCAAATATTTACAAAGTACATATATAATCAGTGTTACTTTTATAATAGTGTTACCCGGTATACTTTCTATTTTCGCTTCATTACCGATTTACAATCCCCATTGAACTCAAGAGATATAAGCAGTGAACCATGATAGAATATATCAGATTCCCCCTTAAAAATGATGGGTACAATAATTTCCTATGACAATGCATATAATTTAACTGTTGATGTCTCTCCATCTCCATTTTTCAAATTTTTTTAAATTTTGTTTCAGACTATAATCGTACACGATAGCAAATACATGGTACATAAGCTTCCCAAGTGAAGTGAAGATAAATTAGAATTCCCGCCCCCGCCAAGTTAATTCAAAAACACCTTTTTCTGACTTCTTCTCGAAAATATTCATATATCTATATCGATATAACTTCATATCTATTTCTTCAAATCGACAATACTATATTGACATGAATAAATATTTTGTTTAGATCGATATTTGAAAATTAGTATAATATTTCAGTCGATAAAAGTTAAAACAATAAAATCTATTAAACAAAAGAAGTTGCCTTCAATTATGTAAATACACCTCAACACAATTCAAAATATGGGCATAAATAAGGAGGTATAACACTTTATATGTTGATAAGTCGATAAAATATAAGACAATATACAAAGTTATAACACAACAAGTGTAGAGCCATTTACGCTTTCGTATATAGGTGGCAGAAATATGCCACCATATAGTACAATCTGTTTTCTTCCGTTTATTTGACTTGTTAACTGTTCTTGCGAACTTCCTACAAACATTCAAATCCTGAAATGTTTCCTTCGAACTTGATGCAAGCTTGCAGCAATTGCTGCAATGTCTGCCGCAAGATCGCAGCTAGTGGCAATCATCTGCGAACAATTTTGTTTGCTGCAAGCTTGTAGCAGAATTGATGCAGGCCTGCAGCAAACATATCAAGTTGGTAAGGGAAATGGAATGTTAAAAAATGTTTCAAATTCAATAAATATGGTACCGTATACTAGTAAGCAGAAATTTAGCGAGGATTTACTTTTGGCATTATAAGGGAGGTTGCCAAGTTCGCTAAAATTTAATATCGCTAAAAAATAGTTGTGTTTCTGCTGTAATATTTTCTTTAGTGAGCATTTCAAATCGTATTACTTCTCGCTAAAAATAAAATACCCAATTTTAAGGACAAATCGCCAAATTTGTGTCTCGCAAAAATTTCCACTTATACGGTATACATGTATATGCACCATATCCAATTATTGATAATGATGTACAGAATTCCAAGGCCTTTGTGTTAATTTCAATCTTTTAAAATATAAAAAAAAATGTATTTTGAATAGTACCTTTAAAATCAAAACCTGAAGTAATTATAAAACTATATAAATAAAAATTTTGTTCAGAAAATGTGGAGGGGCTATTTTTGAGAAAGTTTTATTCTTAATTACATAATGACAATATTTTTGACAAGACTTTCTCACACATATATAACTGGTCTTTTTAGTTGAGTGTTTGTGAAGAAAATGTTGAACGTGTTCACTTATCCTCTGGAGAGTATAAATGTGTATCAAAAGGTATTTCTACCGGTGTTTTAAAGTGAAGTTTTCTCTGCTTTGTTTTGGACAATTGCTTTGAAAAAATTAAGTAGTGTAATTCTAAAATACATTTATTATTTAAAATAGAGCAATATAGAAATGTAGCTCTACGAAAACCAGCAAATTTATCATCTGTGTGGGATAACTATACGGAGGCTGTTTACGCTGTCGATGGGCGTGGAGTTGTCGCAGGAGAAGGGTACAAGTACTGTGCGCATTCTGATGGAAGAGAACCACATCCCCACCTAAGGATTGATCTGCAGAACCTGTTCTATATTGATTATATACTTCTGATTACACGAGGAGATATCAATATCACTGGTAATTTTTTTCTTCAGGATTTGACAATTAAATGTGAAAAGTAATGCACTGTGAAATCACTAATATTCATTAGTTTGAGTTAATTGGGGGTTAATTTTTGTTTAAGATGTATGGAGAGACCCACGAAATTATAACCACTACGAAATGAAAAACTTCATATGCAATACTACTAAACATTTTCAAACCATTAAATATTATTATACCTCATTATAAATATTCTACATAACGCGTTATCTGATTGGTTCTAGGTTATCACGTGATCGGGCCGTAAAACTTCATATTTCCCGGCCGTCGGCACGCTTTTCATCATATTCCACCTCTTCGGAACACCTAGTGTATTTTCCCGCAATATATTCTTGTTCGGTGAATGAAAACTTCCGAAAGAAGTAGACCTCACAATAGCCTGGTTTACGTCACAAAACTGATGATAATGTGTTGAACAAAGGGTTTTTGTAGTAACTTTACGTTAAAAATGAAAATGAATTTGAGAGAGGTGTTTATTTCAAAGGTTTTGCTTGTTTCGGTATAATAAACAATTCATTGCATGAATGTTCTGGAAACATGAAGACTTTGTTGACAGCCAAGAAATATCATTAACCCTCGGGGAATTTTCAAATATTTCCCTCACTATCATGCAATAAATGTATAAAATCCTCACAAACCAATATTTTTCTGCGAATCTAAATCATGTGACCCCACGAAATGTTTTTAGAGTATTTTGGCCTGGACACAGATTTTAAGCTTTTATTATCAAAATAGTACTATTATTTATATGTTAGTAGAGCAGGTCACACCGAAACTTTGCTTTATTTGAATTATGAAAATACGAGTATCCTTTGAATAATACATATTCTTGTATGTTCTGGAAGTAAACTTTATCTTAAAATTTATAGTTAAGAAAAATAGAAACAGTTTTGTGTATAAATAAAACACATGAAAAGTATTATCTATAAAAAAAAAATCATAGTTAAGAAAAATAGAAACAGTTTTGTGTATTAATAAAACATATGAAAAGTATTATCTATAAAACCCAGCATGTAGAAATGCAAAAAAGCAAAACCAACTCATTATAATCTTTGTCAGTTCTCAATGATAATTATACAATATTGAAAACACCCGCTAAAACGTAAACAAGAATAATGAGAGATCGCGAGTTCGTGCCCTGTAAACAAACTCAGCTTAGAGTTTTAAGGTGATATTAATTTGAAGAATATTGTTCTAACTGAACTTTTAGAACATTCATGTACATGTAAATTCAAATTATTAAAAATGTTATTTATCAATAAAATGGAAAATTAAAATTTACATTGAATCTGTGTACATAGGCCCCTATAAAACAGGAATTTTCAAACAATTGGAAATATTATGATAACGCAAGGTTTTCGAAAAAAAAAAATCAATAAGATACATGAGGGTTGTCCGGTAAAAGCGTTGTCAATTTGTCTAGAGAAAACTAATCATCACTGAGTTCTAAATTTTGCAAGTCCTCTTTATTACATTTTCTATCAGTATGCAATGCAATATCAAATAGATATTTAACGAATGAATTAAATATCAACCCAATTTATACTCTACAATTTACGCTTTATATATAAACGGCATAAACTGCTTCAACACAGTTTATACCAGTATAACATGGATTGCTATTTAGTTCATTACATTTTATTTAGTGTAAAACTTTTGCATAAAAGCGTCCCTTGAAAACGTATTCCAACTTGTTCATATACGTATTGTAAACGTTATCTCAAGCGTATTGATATATGTTTTTGACGTACAGTTATTTGACCAGTTCCGAATAAGAAACGGAATCGGCGGTGCTATCAATATACGAGGCATTATTTCAAAATTTAAGTTTTTTGTCAAGGTAGTTCAGTGAGTTGTTCAATTAAATATTGTTTAATAAAAGTTCAGCCTTCCCCTCCAAAAAAATTTTCGCAAGTTAACATAGGTGTCTTTTTTACCAGTTACGAATAAGCCGACGAGTTCCGAATAACCTTGCGGTACCGATTCAATTTAACCCTAAATTAACAAATATACTTCCCACACATTATCCTTTGGAATGCCTAAGAAAAGTTAAATTAATTGCTTATCAATAAGTTATTTGTATTTCCAAAGGATAAAGAAAACTAGGGGTACTGTGAACACTGAACTCGCTTAATGATACATGTACCTCACGCCTCCTATATGATTCTTTGGCAGACTCGAAATAAGTGTCAGATCAAAAAGTCAAAATAAGAGGTCACATGTACAATGGCACAATTGTAATAAAGAATCCATTATAGTATCATTAAATTTTATTAAGTGGAATGGAGGAATTGCGGATAAGAGATAGATATACCCTTCAATATTAGAAAGAATGGCAGTATCCATGGTATGCTAAGGGAACCCAAATTATGTGCCATATCAAAAAATAAAAACAGAAGGTGTCTTTTGGCACTTTTTAACAAAGATTCTGTGAAAGTTTCATTAAAATTCTGTGAAGCCTCATTAAATTTCATTCAGTGGTAGAAGAGGAGTTGTGGATAAGAAATGGGTACCCTAAAGCGTATCACGGACGGACGCACAGACAGACGGACGGACATACAGACGGATGGATGGGCAAAAATAGCATCACGATATACCCATCCCGCTGCTTGTCAAGCGGGGATATAATAAGTCACAATTTCAATGAAGAAAACAACGAAGAATGAATTTATGATAGTGTTTAAAATGGGTATCCGGAACTAGTAAAATGATTACACGAAAATGTTCCAATATCTTCCAGTGTTCTAAATATTTATTTTAAACAAGCTTTTAGTATTTGTTAGAGTACATATCAAACTTACTTTTGATACCTAGAATGTTGTTTTGTGTGAAAAATTGGTGTCTCTACAGAGGTCTGCCTGCAGACTTACGCGTCGCGGTGATTCAGATTTGTTGCATCGTAAAAGTATGTCGACTCTTTCAAGTACGATAACGAAACCAAACTGACAGCAAAAAGTCAAAACTTGGCATAATTCTAACACTAATAAATAAGCTTTCTTACTATAGGTATCAATTTATTTTTACACCTTTGAATGTATTAATCATCTGCTCTTAAGTCTATAATTATTCGGAACTGGCCAAAATCCGGAACTGGCCAAACGACTGTACGTCATTGTAATGTAAGCAACCAAGGTTATACAATTTAGATTAATTTTTCATCCAATCAAATGACGCTTTTACAACAAAATTAAATCATATATGCATAATCAAACATATTAAGACATTTTTGTTCGGTGTTGTGTTTGCTTACGGCACATAGATGATAAGTATCTAAAACATCGTCACGTTTCCTCTTTGCTTAGAAAAATTGAATCAGGAAGAAGGAATTGATTCACATATTACCGTATAATCTCCATCAACGCCCCTGTCCCTATAAGCGCACTTTAGGTCTTTTTCACTTACCAAGAAATAAGGGCCCCCTGTACAGTGATTAAAATTAATTAGAATCGTATTAAAAATAGTGAAAATGAAACTTGTGTTTTATCAAATGTCACGGTGGAAATGAATAATTTTTTGTAGATTATCTCACTTAAATTAAAGTTAGACATTATTTTAGTGGTTCCTTGTATTTATGTTTTTTCTATGATTTTTTAAAGTTAAAATATGACATTAAATATCATAAAAAGAATACCAAAATAACCACCCCGTTTTCGCAGTTTTTGAAGCGTCCGGGCGGTTAATTGGGATTATACGGTACTTGAGTTTCACTTTATTTCTCCATAAACAGACGAGGAACCAATCTTGCATGGGACCTTCTGAAGATTTATCTGAAAGTTAAAGATGGCATTTTTATTGAGCTAAATAGGCAATCTTATATCGACGGTCTTCAGCAACAGCGTCCTTTGCTTTTAGCATAACTGTATGTCCGTATGTTTTGTCTTACCTGGGGACTCAGTTGTAAAGACTTTGTTCAGAAAACCCCCATTTCACTTGTATACTAAAAATCTCATATTTTTTTCTGCATTCATTTATAGTATGTTAGCTCGTTATTACTACAACTGAACTGATCTCCGGTGCGACGTAACATCGTCAAACATCGCATTTTTTCCCGTGCTGTATTTACCATTTCCCCATTTCCAAATGCCCGGAAATCTGCCAAAATTTAGGCAAATGCCTTGCAAATTTCCTAAAAACGACACAATAGATAGTGGATTAAAAAAGATAATTTTTATCTCAATCTTATCAATGAAGGAAATGGAGATAACGAACAGTATTCAATATCAAGTCCATAAAACAATACAAAATAGGAGCAGAGCAAACACGGACCTCCGAAACATCAGAAGTGGGATCAGGTGCCATGGAGGAGTGAGCATCTCCTGCTGACCGGTCACACCTGCCGTGTGCTCCCTGTCTTGATCGTGAAATAACGGGAAAATCAGTCGTCAATTCAGTGTATAAGTAATGGACTACCAATTAAATTCTTTTATGTCAAAATACTATTCGTGTGTTCTCTATTGAAATTCTAATTTTCTGTTTTTTCTTTTGGTCGTGCACAGTAGGACGTACATTATATGCATTTTTATCATTATTTTATTAGAATCAAGATGCATTTAAATATGACAAATAAACATTTTCGAAAATTTTAGCTTCAGAGTAAGTGTGTCAATTATTTATTGAGAAAACGCTTTGTGTACGATTTTTTTGGACAACCCTCTTAAATGTCATTTTTTGTGAGTTTGTCTTGTTTTTATTTTCTTATTACGAGAAAATGCATGAAATTATTTAAAAAAATAGAATTAATAATATCAAATTCTGATGAAAATTAAAAGGGAAAGTAGATCGACATGAAAATTTCCACAATTGTCCATTTCTTACTCGTAAAAATTAAATGTTTATTTTTCGGAGGATATAGTGCTCATCAAAGAGAAAAAAAATATCAAGGGTATTTTTTATTTTTGCTCCATTGGCCCATCTTTGCAAAGGCTATGTGAAATGGTAATTTGATGTGCAAATACAACATAAAATAAATATTTTGTTTGATTTTAGCGGAATATGTCCATGACGTGGAAGTCCGTGTAGGTCACGTGGCTACATGGGAGAACATGACGACCTGTGGTATGTTTAACGGGACAGCAGAACCTGGTCAGACTTATAAGATCCAGTGTGCCTCCTGCCTTGTTGGCCAATTTGTAACAGTCAGGATTGTCGGGGATAAGATGATGCATGTTTACGGTGGAAATCAACTAAGTTTATGTGAGGTCACAGTTTGGGGAAAAAGATATTATAGTTAAAATAAAACGAATTCCTGCAAGTAATTTATCACTTTGATTTCAGTTTTTCTGATAACATAAAGTTGACATACAACAATAAGACTGAGTTTGGCATTTGTTTGCATATACCTAAGTTGAATATAAATTTCAGAAATGTCTTTCTTTAAGTACATAGAGGATATGAATTACCAACCAAGATTCCACGCAACCATATCTAGAATGCATGTCTTTGTTTTCGTTTATCTCCATAAACAGCGTCAAAACTCTGCTCGCCGAGTGGAAAAGTCGACTCAACCATGGAACGGTATGTGCTGATCCCGCGCAGATATTTTGATTGGCTAAAAATCTGTTTCTAAAATTACATCAGATAAACATCGTAATGTTTTCAGACGTAAACAAATTCTATTAACTCACTCCAATACTTAAACAATGAAACTGAATTTTTAAAACCACTGACTTTTTTTAAAAATTTTGTTCTGTGCCCGAGATTAGAACATACCATTCTATGGTTGAGTTTGACTTTCCACCCGGCAAGCAGAGTTTTGACGCTGATTACGGAGATAAAAGAAAATAAAGTCAAGCATGCTAGATATGGTTGTGTAGATAAAATGTCGTGGAAGACATAGGTATAAACAGTTTACCCGTGCATTTCCTCTGAAAGTGTAAAGGAGTGCGATTCTAAGGGAGGGGGTACTCTGTGTAATTCGGAGTTAGATTCCTTGTGTTATTATTATACTATAGGTCAAAAATTTATTACAGAAACAAGTGCCTGTGGCCGATACGATATGAGATAAAAGATACCACAGAGTCTGACACATGTGTTTCATACTAGGATATTTTACTTGAAAAATACGTTATTGGAAATCTAACAAACATGCTATATGTAAACGTGATTTAGAATTTTTATTTATACACTGAATTGACAACGGATTATTCCGTTATTTCCTGATCATGACAAGGAGACACGGCGGATGTGACCGGTCAGCAGGGGATGCTTACTCCTCCATTGCACCTGATCCCCACCTCTGATGTTTTGGAGGTCTCTGTTTGCTCTGCTTCTATTTTGTATTGTTTTATGGACTTTGAATTTGAATACTATTCGTTATCTCCATATCCTTCATTTTGCAATCTGACCCCCTAAAATTGAATATAGCATAAAAATCAAAAAAAGGTGAGATAAAAGAAAATAAACACCACAATCCAATTGAAATTTGAATCCATCCACCCAAGGCGACTTGGCAAGGCGCAAACTAAAAAGTGGAAACATATTTTCTTTATTTGCTAGATATACTAGTCATTACGATAGGTGATCAAAAAGTTCGTGAACTATCTCTATATCGACAAAACCACAATTCAGATTAGAATAAATTTTGGTCACATTTAAATTCATTCACAAGTTCTATAAATATCATATGCTGTATAAAGTTTTACTCCTTCTTTGTGACGTCACAATATGAAAATAACGTCACTTTGTAGATCACCGACAAAATATTTTTGTCTCAGTTGTACACGTTCAACGAACGACTGTAAAATATCTTGATATATCTTAAAATTCATGATTATTCTTTTGCAGTAGCTTTTAATGATTTGTACACAATTAATTAAGACAAAAGATTTCCTACAAATCTAATCAAAGATTAGATTGATCGTTTTAGTGACAGAAGGAGATGGTTAAAATGATAACTGTTTTGTTGCCCAGTGAAAACAAGTTTGAAAAGAAATGTGTTTTTAGATAATCAATTTGTTATGAAAGACATCCAATTTACAGTTTGAAAAATAGTTGGATATCTTAAAAATAATACTGTAGATTCCTAAATATGCGCGTGAAATTAATTATCGCGTAATTTCGCGATAAGCACCACACGCGAAATAAAATTACTCGCGTTTATTTTTATGGTGCTAAAATCTATGTAAAATTTCTTGATCAACCGTCTATTCGCAAATAATTCTGGCGATTTGCCGTTGAAGAGTCAATTCGCGATAATAAGTACTCGCGAAAAATAAGGAATCTACAGTATAATTGTTAAATACCTATTAATGTCATCGTTTACTTTGGATCTTTAACATGTTAGATGTCATAAAAGGAGGCACCCATTTTCTATCCACCTTGAATAAACGACTCTCCCGAGGCAGGGGATTGGGGATTTGATTTGCTGTCAATTATTTGCAGAGTGTATATTTTTATGAAATATATTTACTTTACATAGCATTTTTTTATTTGCTCATAATTTTTATTGCTCAAGTGTGCTTTAATTTTGAGCTTTATTATCATTCGGTATTCATATATTTCACGTACCTTCACTGTTGGTAAATTCACTTTTAATTTCCACATATTTATTGATAATATTGACTTGTAACATACTCTGAGTCTTGTATAATTAAGAGACTATTATCTGCATAAATGGCCTATTACATAGTTCATTATCTTTATCTACTATAATTATAAACTTTAAGCATCTATTGTGAAAAATACTAAGTATTCAACCGAATATATATCAAGGCTTCTCTCAAAGAGCAAACTAATATAAATAATGCATAATTAAATTGAAATAAAATTTATTTTTATTCTTATTGATTTTTCTATGATGAAAATCATCTTACATGAAAAATTAATCACTATGCTGGAAGAATGGTGTGCCCCAATGAATCAATAGAACCATTAATGTCCGGCTAATGAGTGTGTTTTAACTTATTTAATCGAGCTGTGGTATATTAGATAGTTTTAATAGTAGAAGTAAAATACATTTCTTTTTTGGAGCATAAATGTTTCTACACTTGTTTTGTAATACATGTAACTCGTAAATTGTCATATATTTTATTGTCTTTTCAATATATTTAAGGAATAACTGTCTTATTTTTTCGATTTCATGATGTGATCAATCGATTGGCTTGCGTGATAATTTGCATTAACACCGAAGGCGTTTATGCATAAAATTATCACGCAAGCCAATCGATTGATCATCGTCATGAAATTGAAAAATCTGACAGTTATTTCTTATATTTACATGCTTTGATCCCGCCAATCCATGTGCTCCAAGCACTGCTTCTGACTATAGCTGTTTGTCCCGTCCTGCACGTGTTTTTTTTTTGGAACCGCGCCAATACATTGATTGGGAAATAAAGTACATTTACAATTTGTAATTTTATCTCAGACAAAGACATTTGAAATGTAAATATTAAATGTTATACCCCCGGTATCTCCTTATTTATACACATTTTTTGAATTGTATTTAAATGTTTTCACGTAATTTAAGGCACCTTCTTTTATTTAATTGATTTTATTGTTTTACGTTTTATCGTTTTAAAAGTTAAATTAATATTAAAATATCGATTAAAGCAAGATTTTTAATCATATAAATATAGTATTGTCATTTTAAAAAATAAATATGCAGTAAAATCAATATGATTAAGTGAATGTTTCAGAGAGGGTGAGAAAATATTGTTATTGAATTAACTTTATTGATTTTAACTCTTCACTACTCTCTGGATTCCAAAAGTTTCTGTACACTATCATGCATAGGCTGATACAAATTCCAAAAGGAATTTAAAAAGGTAGATGGAGGGACATCAGCAGTAAGATTAGAAGCTTTGTTATAGGGGCCTATTGTGCCCATCATTACTTTAGAAGAGGGAAGAGTATCTTTATTATTATTTTACATTATCTTCAGTTTCGCGTTCATGTGGTAGATCACATAGAGTGGTAGGTACTATAGAAAGGTAAAATATCAAGTATTTTTACAGAGTACACAGCAAGTGTAACTTTTATGATAATATTACTCTCTGTTTTTATTTCTTCCACAAGAAGGACAAGTACTATATGTATTTATCAATGAAACATAGAAACAATTGAAATGGGGGGATACAACTGTCCTTGAATAAATTAGTCACAGCAAATTTAAGTCGCAGCAATTTTTATCATGCATACCCTGCTAACACAAATAAACGATACTTTACACATGGCACGTGCCTTCATGTATGTACTGTCAATATATTTGAGAGATACTATGTTTCATTCGATTT